CGAGGTTCAGCAGCAAATTGGTGCCATCATGCACCTCGAGTGTTCCGCGGTGACGCGAGCAAATGTGAAAACCGTCTTTCAGCTGGCTGCCATGGCCGTCCTCAACGCAGAGAAGCCACACCGACCCAGTATTTTGGGGAGTCTCACGCACAACAAACAGACACCATCCAAGAGACGCAGTTCAAAAATTGACCGCTCCAAGATTTGTTGCTTTCCGTTTAAGTAATTGCGCGAAGGCAGGTTAATACGTTCTCGGGTCAGGCCCTCATTGACTACTTACATGCTATTTAGTTCCATTGTATATACATATGCACTTATTAATTTTGAGAAAATTCGACTTTTCGCTCTGTTGCTGATGAAAATACTCTGTATTTTTGCAGCATTTTTCTTTTTGGCCCGGTATTTGCTTTAGATAAATTGTAAGATCATTTATTGATAGCAGAAGGATCAGATTGTTGATTTGTATTATAAACTAACACGTCTGCGACTCGCCTTAAGTTTGAAAGTCATCTAACAAAAAACATGAAAGAGGAAATAATCTAAAAAATACAATATAACGTGAAAGAATTTACACGGAAATCATCTGTACTGTGCAGAAAAATAGGAAGAAATATGGGTTCTGAATTTTCGCAGTTTTCTGCTTGGACAAAATATCTATTCTGTCACCTTGTTATACAAATCTAACATGCAAGAGGTCATCAAACCTAAATTTCCTTGAATTAATTTCGAAGCAGGTCAGTGCAGACAGGCGTCTCCGTAGTAATCAAAAATATTTTTTCCATTAGCAAAACCAAAGTTTAAAACACTTTTCTAATCAACGGTTATTTCGGATTCAGAGACGGTATGCAACTAAAAGTATACATGTTATAACTTCGATATTTTTCTCATGTATCGCATTAGGAGTTTAAACGCAGCGCCATTAATTATTTGTAAAATACTTCAGGAATAGTTTGAAAACATTTGAAAAATCTGTAAATTACAGAGGTTTGTAGTGTTCATTTCATCGCGCAGGTAACACAACGCCCCACAAACATTTTCAGGGTCAAGCTCTTCAAAAGTGATTGGTGGACTCTACCCAGAGGGAGTAAGTAACTTTTTGTGTTTAAAAAGTATCAGGGGATCATTTATCGCGTTAAACAAAACAAGCACGCAACTGTTTGTATTGAATGCGAGTGGGACAATTAACTAACAAAAAGCGTGAAAGCGTTACTTCATCCTTAATACATAGCCGCGAAACATATAACCGGCTAAGCGGATTAATAATTAAAAGTTACTTTCTTACGTCTACACTTTAAACCTTTTAAAACGCCCCATTTCCGCAGTGTTCCGAGAATTCTGTAAAATCTAAACTCGATGCGCTGAGGAACTGTGACTGCTGTAGTACTGCATAATACTGTATGCCTTCTACATCACAATAAAGAACTTTATATTCTTAAAATGCTAATGAACTATAACCTTACTTACTTACTTACTTAGTTACCTTACCTTACATGCTGAGCTGGCTTTTGCAGAGGTTTTAACAATTTTTATTCACTCCATGTTAAAAATATGATACTTTGACATTCTGGCTTTCGTACATTTTCAATATTTACAATTTGAGCGTATCAGACCACAGATATTTTATTCACGCATGCTTATTTAGGTGCATCCCAGTCCACTGAATGTAGATACACGGCCGTTTAATGGTAGTCAAAATGGTATGCTAGCGACAGTCAGTTAAGTATGTTTTAGACTAGTGTTGGAGTAAATAAGGTAAATTAGCATCTATAACTATGTCCGTAGCCGCTCCAAATATATTACAGAGAAAATACACCCAGAATTTGGACTCAAGAATACATCTCAAGATTTTTAGGATTGAGAAGAAGACGACTCGATCGCTGGGACAATACTTTTATTTTACCTGACGTCTCGATATCCGTCGCGGATTCGTCATCAGAGACATAGGCAGAGAGCTCTCTGATGACGAATCCGCGATGGATATCGAAACGTCAGGTGAATAAAAGTATTGTCCCAGCGATCGAGTCATCTTCTTCTCAGTTACTTCCTGGGACTCGCATGTTCCCTAGTATTGGCACTCTTTAGGATTATTCGTCAGGTACCTGCACTTACTCGGAATTTTATTTCACCATACAGACAGTGTTTTCTATTTGAATCAACACGATTTCCAGAAAATTAATCAGATTTCTATTGCATGAAAAGAAGCCTCAACTGTTGATCATAAGAGTAGTACCGTCAAAAGCATCGCAAAACAGTTTTCCCATATAAACTGGAAAATCGGCATCCCAAGAAGTATAATTCAGTAGAAGTACTTTGGGAAACGGTGGTTTATTGTGTGAATTTTCGATACCGGCTCACCAGGTCGTCGTAAGACGGATGAAGATTGCACGAAACAGTTAATTAAAAATGGTAGCTAAAAGAAACTTATATAATGGGTCAGGCTAAGAGTCGATAATCTTTACCCGCATGCAATTATGCGGTCGGTCGGGAACTAATTGTCGACCGTATTTAATCGTGCGGTCGGTGGTAGCTGGTTTTTGCTTCCCCTAGTCCGGATAGGCTGCCGTCTCTTCCATGCTCCCCTGAGGTTGGCGTACATCGCGTCCAATTTGGCGTGCCCGTTGATGCACGAGTCGTCGGAGTTGATGGCTTCTGAAAGCTCGCGGCCTTTTTTGTATGGACGAGAGCCAACAATGCAAGTTTCGCCCCATGCACATTAGTCTCCAGTTTCTAATTTGTGCATGACGACTTTGGACAAGTGGTATCGCCCCTTTACCGCTCTTTGATGTTTGCGTAAGCGTGTAGCGGCTGAGCTTCCTGTCTGTCCGCAATAAACTGCATTGCAGCCACCACAGAGGATCTTTTAAATGAATTCTTTTCTGGCCAAATAGCCAACCCTATCCTCAGGGTGTATATACTGATTTCGCAGAGTTTTCGTTGGTTTGTGCGCCACTTGAATTTAATGCTTCCTCAGGTGTCTTTAAACGAGTTCAGACACGTTCTTAATACAGTAGTCGCCGGTTATTAAGCCCACGGTTAATAGGCTCAGCCGCGTATT